TTTAAAAGTAGTAACTCTATACATAGATGTGTAGATCATGCAAAGAAGTAACTTTCAGACACAAACTGGAAGAAAAAGCCCCCCTGCAATAGCTACTTTCATATAAACATTAAATTACACGAAATAAAAATTATTTCGAAACACATACTTTTATATAAACACTGAATTATATAAAAAACTTTCTCTGCTGAGTTTGTATTCCAAACATTTGTTATGGACTTGTATCAGATATCATTCACAGGATTTCTACACAGTATACTAAATGAATGGTGAAATTTCACTTACATGGAACACTGTCATCCTTACTGGTAGACATCGATGTTTCGCCATAAAACACTTGTCTTAGGACTCTTCAGTACCAATCTGGATAATATTATAAGAAAAAACCCACAAAATTATTGCTTCATTCTTTTCTTTGGAAGATTCCCACTTTCCAAAAACTTTCTTTCTCAAAAATTAATCACTCCTAAAAATATAATCTTTTTAGTATAGAAAAATGAAATTTTAAAAGACATTCAAGTGTAATTGAGAGAAAAACTCATCATTAGGAGGAGATGACCGAGAAGACCACATGTGGATAAAAATAGCAGAAAAATGTATGTAGTATGTCGTTCGAGAAAAAATACATGGTTGAAACGTAACACTAAAATCAAAAATATAATGCGTTAAAACGGTCATTTTGTATTATTCCATCTTACACGCATGACATTGTTTAAGATGGTTGATTGTAGGGGACTTGTGATATTATTCCCATCTGAAACGGGAATCCAGAATCGAAATTTCCTACAACGTAGGGAAAAATGAAATTTTATTATAAGTCATTGGTCAAATCAACGGTAATGATTTTGTGGTCTTTGTGATGTTTACTTATTTGTTTGCTTGAAATTTCAATCCGGTATTCAGAATAGTTTTATCAACTGCTGGACATCGTAGTTCACGCATGTGACCTTTTCCTTGCAAACAATTTCAAAATCTTGTTCTCTAGTACTTCAAAGCCCGAATTTGTAATTTTTTAGAATTGATTCTCAAAAATGGAAAAATGTTGGATAGATAATTGAACAAACTATCAAACAGGATATTTCAAGACCCCTTTTTTTAATAAATAAAGTTAGACAAATTTCGGATTTTTTTTTGTACTTCATTTTCATTGAAATGATTTTCAAGAATGTTTATGTAAGTTACCCACTTTGGAACGAAATACATGGTTCAAAAGTAACACTAAAATCAAAAGATAAGTTTCATTCCACACAGTATATCCATTGTTTGGATATTTGATAGGCTCAAAATAGCGCCTTTGGTCAGTTAGCATCATCAGGAGATGCCTAAGGTTAAAAATCTCTGGAGGGGGTAAATATAACAAAAAAATTTGCAGGGTGACTTAAAATACATTGTTTAGGAAAAATACATGACAGTATACACGATGCCTCAAAATACAACGTTCAAGAAAAACATTAGGGACGTCTTTGGACTGGAGAAACTAACGAATTTAGAGAAGTCAACAGCATTTCAGTAATGAATGATTCAATATGAAGTGTATTTTTTTGATAATATAATTCACATCAAAATTTTCGCAAGAATATAATGCGTTGAAACTGCCATTTTGAATGCTTCAAAAAACCCATATAATTTGCTTTGTAACGTGAATTATATCATGCCGCCACCAGAGAAGAAGCGAACTCAGCATTATCTCCTGACTCTGCAGAATTTACTTGTTTGCTCATTTGTTTTATTCAAGTCAGTCAGTAACTAGCATTTACACTGTTAACATCGTTCTTTTGAGCTAAAAGTTGTATTTCGTAAATAAATAAATCTTTTTAAAAAGGAATTTCCATCACTCGTTGATGTTTTTCGTGCCAAATTATCACGATAATCGCTCCAAATAATACATCAAAAATATAGGGCGATGAGACGTACATTTTGTACGTCTTTAAAAAAATAAAAAATAACGCGTGACAGAAAAGCATAAAACCATTAATGATAGTCGGTTGGTCACAGGAAAATTGTGATGTCATTCGACGTCAGCGAGTGATAGAGAGAAACAAACATTTCCATTTTTTTTTACCCTAATGAATTTTTCAACAATATACAGTGCCTTCATTTCAAAACTTCCCACCCCTAGTACTTCGTTTAGCAGGGAGAATTTGCCGTAGGCAAAAAACACGTCAATTTAGATATCGACGGGGAAATTTAAAACCAGTGCCAGTGATGTTTTAGTTTTAACCCCCTTATCCTAGCTACCCCCACTTAATAATTTTAAATGGCACCCCCTATCTTGTAACACATCATTTTAAAGATCTTAAAAATTCTCACTCAACCCCGTTTAGAAAACTGAAATTGGTTGATCCGTTCTCGTAAAATAGAACAAAAAGAAAATTAATTATAATAAAAAATAAAATAATAGCTATTGCAATTAAATAAATGTTCCTTACTTTATTAGGTGTTCAAAATGTTCACCATTGGTAGCTAAGCAAAAGTACAATCTATTCTCGAATTCCTGTCGGATTTTTGTAAATGTTTCGTTATTAATTTGTCTGCATGTGTCAGTAATCCTGTGTCTTAGATCCTGAATGTCCTGCGGGGGAGTTTTGTATACCATTGTCTTCAAATAACCCCAGAGAAAGAAATCCAATGGCGTTAAATACGGAGATCTCGCCGGCCATTCCAGAGCGCCTCTTCTGACAATCAATTTGTCAGGATACCATTGATCGAGCCACTGTCGGACATGCAATGCGTAGCGTAAAGTGGTGGTGCGCCGTCCTGTTGAAAATATAAACTTTGTTCATCCAAGAGCGGGTTGTCTTCTTCATCAACTTGGGGTTCTAAGAACCGTGTTATGAGTGGATCGATTACATTTTCCAATAAGCTTAAATACAATTGACCAGTTGAATTTTCTTCAATAAAAATAGGCCAATTATTTTGTTTCCCAGAATTCCAGCCTAGACGTTTATTTTTTGTGGATATTGCGTATGATCCTCTCGAGACAAGTGTGAATTTTCATTATCCCAGTATCTACAGTTATGCTTATTTACAAAGCCATCAAGAAAAAAAGTTGATTCATCACTGAAGCAAATTTTTTAATTAAATTCGGGTCATTTTTAATTCTCGTAGTCATTATTTCACATAATTCAATTCTCCTATCATAGTCATCCTCACTGAGTTGCTGAAGAATACTCATTTTGTAAGGAAAGAACTCGTTTAGTTTTAAAACTTTGTGGATAGAATCAACTGAAATATTTACTAACTTAGCGACTTTCGAAATTGAAGTAGTAGGCTCAACGGCGAATTGGCCTAAAATCTCAATCTGTGCGGCTTCCGTAAGAAATCTCTGCTGCTTCACTGCTTTGTTGCACACAGAACTGGTCTCTTCAGATTTTTGAACAAGGTCTAGAACATATCGGTGACTCACATTTTGGCCTGCATGCCTTTCATTAAAAACCCGGGCTGTCCTACAAGCACACCTATCTTCAGCAACATTATTAAAAATAATTTCAGTTCTTTCTTGTAAAGTGTACACCATTACGATTTGTATTACTGTCAGTGCAACTGACACCACTTGACAAACAGTTTAAAATCAGGAATAACTAATTCTGATAAATGTTTTCACTATTTAATTGCAACTAACGCCAAGAAGCAACTGTGTGCCCTTATCTCACTTTCAGCTAAAGCAAAAAACTCTGTGTAAAAAAAAGACATAAACATACCGTTATTGAGTCAGTGGTAGCGGTTCCATAAATTTTTGCATTTTGTTATAATTCATTTTCTTTTTGCCCTATTTTACGAGAACTGATCAACCAATTTCAGTTTTCTAAGCAGGGTTGAGTGAGGATATTTAAGATCTTTAAAATGATGTGTTACAACATAGGGGGTCCCATTTAAAATTATTAAGTGGGGGTAGCTAGGGGTAAGGGGGTTAAACCTAAAATACCACTGGCACTGGTTTCAAACTTCCTCCTCGTTATCTAAATTGATGTGTTTTTTCCTACGGCAAATTCTCCCTGCTAAAAGAAGTACTAGAGGTGGGAAGTTTTGAAATGAAGGCACTGTATAATAAAATCTTCCTCTTGTTCATGTGAATGATTTGAATTGAAACGTGGGCTCCTTTTTTCGAGAAGTTTCTGATTGCATAATGATATAATTTTTTGTGTTATCACATAAGCACTTATTAATCACTTCATGTACAATTTTATTGTGAAATAAATAGTAATTTATTGATAGATGGATGTAATTTTCTTCAGGAGTTCTTTGAGATGGTGCAAGAGTCCTTTTATAGTAGGACTATTTTCTAAAGAAATATATGTGTCCATCAATATATCGAAAAGCACTTGTGATATCTCCTGGAATTTTCAGAAATATATCAGAAATCCCTCATCTGGTTGTAATCACACCTGGTGTTTCGAAAAATTTCACGTAAGATTTATTATACACTACCTTATTTTTCCTGAGACTTTTTTACAAGCATGGAAATCGTCACATACACAAGTAAACATTGGAGTTGAAAAATATCAAGTGATAAAATATGAAATATACATGTGAAAAAGTTATCATAAGAGAGTGTGGCCTAAGTGCGTGAGCTTACACTCACCCTCCCTACTCTACAACTACAGATACAGGGACATAGCAAATGCGGCAGTACCTGACCAATTATATGTCGCTTTTTAAAGAGTAATCTATGAAGAAATTATGTTTGTATTGTCTACTTCTTACAAAAAAGCTGTGAACATTGTGTATAAAGACATTCTGTAGTATATTTAGAATCAGCATTGCACCCGTGCGTAGCCGAGGCGGGTCGCTAGTTTCCTATTATATTATGACATATTTTTTGTTCAGCCCAACAGCGACACGTCTGACCCATTTTCTATGAGGAGTAGCCACCCCCCCTTTGTATACCATGCATGGGCCATTTTATTGGATTTTTATCGACAGAAAATCGCTTTCTGAAAATTAATTTCAACTGCATTTAAGATAAATCATTACTGATTCATCATTTTTTTCATTGCCAGACCTTTTCTCAAAGGGTATATCACAAAGTGGAGTAGCTCTAAACCCCTGGGTTTTAGTAGAAAATCCTCTCCAAAGATCAAAAAAGTTATCGTCTATTGTTGGATGTCCAGTAGAAAACAACAGCGAAATGGTAAGCTGTTTGAAAACAAAACCTGGAAGACAAATTACGCAGGCAGTGAAATATTTTCAAGTGAGTACCTATTATGATTATCAGTATTCTTTCCTTTTTATATGAATAATGAAATGTGAAAAAAGAGTTAATTGAATGTAGTTGTTAAGTCCTCGAATCCAGACCTAAAATAATAAATGATCACATCACGGCTAAAACTTCGTGAACGTATGTATCTCGGTCAGCTGGTCAGTTTTTCTCTACGAAAAATCTACGTTGTAGGAAGTTTTCTCGCGAAAGCGCTTCAACTTTTTAATTTCATTCGATTTTTTCACATTAAAAAGGAAAATATTTCGTCGGAAAAATTTAAATATAAAAAAATAATTACCTCACAGCTGATTTTTCAGGATATCTTGTTGAAAATATTTTGAATGAGAAGCAATCTTTTCTCACAAAAATATTTGGTTAATTTGGTTATCCGACTAATCAAAGTTAGGGTTTTATGAAACTCTATTAGTTACCCCATGTCGGACAAAATAACTGGTGTATTCTTGATCATTTATATAATTGTCTGTCAACATTACTTGGTCTATACAATAGTTGGACAGAGGACGGAAATTTTCAGAATGTGAGTACCCTCACACTCTTCTAATTTCAAATAGGGAAGTATTATTATTATTATTATATTTGTAACTTCATCGCGAAAAAATTCATCCCCGTGTACATTACACCCAAGATGGATAAAAAACCATGTTGTTTAAACTGATTCGCTTTTGTTTTGTGAAAATCTCTCGACGCGAGGAATAAGATTGACCCAACTTTGTACACATGTTGATAGTTGGAACAAGAATCGTTTCCCGATCTCTTTATTTTATGAAGAATCAAGAGTACCTTCTGTAGATCGAGTGTTTCCGTCAAAATATTTTACATAGGGAGGAGGGATTTAAGTGATTACACCATGGTAGGTATTTCTATCCTTCTTGATTGCACCAAATACTACTTACATAGATCGTCCGTTTATTTCATTGGAGTCATTTTATCAACGGAGGTAGGTTATAGAGATATCGAATACTGTCATGTTTTTTAAAAACAGCATCTTATGAAACTCGTTGCTCGTTGTTTGCATTTCTTCTCAAAGATATCAGTAGCAGATTACAGCCGTTTCTGGGCCTCCCCCCACCACTATGACGTATTAATTGTTTTTTTTTTTGTTTAGTAACATCAAGGCGATGTGACCTTGAAGTGTCTGGTGCATGGATCGTTCAGATTTTTTTTTTCATATGAGATTTTGTGTGTGTGTGACATAATGACGTAATTACATTTGGTTGGTGTGTGTGTGAGAATGCACGGTACAGGGTTTCATCATGTGCTTGTCTATGTACAAACATACGTCTGCATACTTTAAAGATCCACCAAGTAATAAATATTCCATCGGTGTGAGTGGTTATTAGTGGTGTGACGTCACAGCAGCAACCGTTCAACGGTAGGAGAGCGAGATGTTCACTCCACGGCGTGTGACTGATTAATGCGTATTCATCGGTGTGTCCTCACCTATCTCTCGATGAGACGATGGCTATGACGTAACGCATCGCTCTAGCCTTGCTGTCGATGGTGACGCGCAGGCGGCGAGGACTGTGTTAACGTCTGCCCTCTACGAGAGCGCAACAACCACTTTTTGTTCGTTTCGACATCTGTTAAGGCATCCAGCTGGGAGGTGGGTAGCAACTAGCATTGTGAACCTTTCACGGTTTCATGGTGGGGGTGACTTGCACTGTTTAACATAAAGGAAATGCCTGGCACACTATGCAAATAGTGTTATTCAGTTCGTAATAGAAGGAAGACGGTGAGTGTATTTTTCTGTTGGAAATTGTTTATATTTTCATACATATTTTCATCATGTCCGTTTCAAAAGTAGACTTGAATAAAATCAATAATTTGAATGTACAGGAGGTTGAAATATTAGAGCAAAAGGCCTTATCATCATTGACAATTGATGAAGTGTACATAATTAAAAATATGTCAACTTATTCTACAAGGTTTGGTAAATCAACGTTATTAACTTTGGAAGATGGAAGCAATGATAAAGTATTTAAAACATGGCTACCAAAACGTATTTCGTTGCAATTCAGTGATGACGATATAACTTGTATCAACTCATCGAGTGGTAAATATACGATTGTGTATTTAGGTCAGAGCCCACAAAGTTTTGCTGGCATGAAAACGCGATCTCTAGTCAAATTCAATATGATTGAATAATAATAGTAATTATTTATAGTGAATTTATTTTTGTTTCAATAATATTCATATATTAGATGATTTAGATGATAATTATATGGAAATATAAACATTACTAACTTAGTTGAATACACTCACTTTATAAGTACAAGTAAAATGGGAATGTGAGTATTATATCATGAAAACAAGTTGGAGGTTGCTTATTGTTTTTTTATTCGATTTCAGTTCCACCATTCAAAGATGTGGATGCAGTATGCAAGTCAAAATTGGATCGATGTTGTAGATCTCAAATCATCAGTTCAACATTTGTCGCCTGAATTGAAGGTGTTGGGTGATGGAGCCGAACATGCAAGCATTTATGATATGAGTGTATGCTATAATGAAAAACAAATCGAATTATGTCTTCGTGATGCTGAGAACTATCGGAGTGGTGCAGAAGTTTGTAACAAATTTTTGGATAATGAATTGGAATTGTGTCAAGTTTGTGAGGTTATGCTTGAACTGAACCTGAGAAGATTCCTGTATAGTCTCCAACCATACTTACCAGAATGGATTATTCATCACTTTGAATTGAATGATGAAAATCGAGAGGAAATTGAAGATGGTCGCGAAAATGATGACTATGAGGAAGAAGTTATTTTAGATAGTCTGTATGTTCCTGTAAATCATAAATAATGCCAAATAAAAAAATTTGTAAAGAAAATATTTATCATGGAATAGACCCATAAAATCCAAATGAAGTCTACTCCACGGTTGTTCTGGCCAAGGCTAAGGGAGTAAAATCGATTTGTCTGGACATATTTCATTTTTAAGACAATTGGGGCATTCTCTACAAATTTCCTCTATTTGTTTTTCAAACCAGGCCACCAAAAATAAGAACGCGATAAATTTTTCACTTCAACTACCCCCATGTGTGTCGAATGTGACTCTGTCAAAATTGCTTCTCTCAAAACTTGAGGAATAATGATACGGTTATTCCAAATTGAACAATCGGATTCAATTGATAATTCGTATTTAATTTTATAGAAATATTTTAAATTTCTCTCTTTGTGAAACTTTTTCTAATTCGGCCAATCTTTATCAATAAAATTCAACACTTCATTCAAAATTCTATCATTAGCTGTCTCCTTTCTAATTAATTAAAAATTTACTGAAAAGTGTTCAGCATTCGCTAAATATTCAACAAAATTAAAATCAACATTTTCCCCTGACATTGTCCTCAATTGATTGCGGAAGTTTAGACAAAGAATCTGGGTTATGTTCTGATTTCAGAACTTCTATATCATAATGATAACTCGACAAAATAATTGCCCATCTTCGCAATCTATTTGCAGCATATTCAGGGATTCTTTTATCAGGATGGAATATATATGATAAAGGTTTATTATCGGTTACCAATGTACATTTTTTTCCTAACTAGTGATAATGAAATCTGTTTAAATCGAAAATAACTGCTAGAGCTTCTTTCTATAAAATACAAAATTTTTCTAAAAGCATAAGCTATAACCCTTTCTATGCCATTAGGCAATGTATGCGAGATATCAACGCTCCAATTCCGTAATCACAAGCATCAATAACTTACTTTATAGGTAGTTCTGGGTTAAAATGAACTGAAACAGGAGGAGAAATTAATTTTTCTTTCACTTCCTCAAACGCTTTTTGACAACAATTTGTCCATTTCCATACCGTATTTTTCGTCAGTAAATTGTAAAGAGGTTGTAACAAAATGGAAAGATTTTTTATAAATTTGCCAAAGTAGTTCACTAAACATAAAAAAGATTGTAATGAAGTTACATCGAATGAAATTGGCGCATTAATAATAGCGGAAATTTTAGAATCAGAAGCATGCAAACCTTCTTTACTAATGTCATATCCAAGATACGATATTTTGGATTCAAAAAAACTACATTTGTTGAAAGATAATTTAAGTCCCGCCTTTTGTAAATGTGAAAGCACTGTTTCTAACGAAAAATATGTTCTACTCTGGTTTTTCCCGTGATAAGAATGTCGTCCAAAAAACAAACCACTCCATCCAAATCTACTAATAGAGAATCTAAAATTTTTTGGAATTTGGATGGCATACTTGAAATACCAAATGGAGCATGATTATATCAATACAAGCCTTTGTGTGTCAAAATTGTAACATACTTTTTCGAAGACTCATCTAAACAAATCTGCTGATAAGCATTGGACATGTCTAATTTAGTAAAGTGGACACCACCAGCCAGTTTACTGAGCAAATTTTCAATTTTTGGTAATGATCAATTTCTATGAAAGGATTTATCGTAACTTTGAAGTCCCCGCAAATGCGTACTGAATCGTTCCTTTTTAGTACGGGCACAATAGGTGTACTCCATTCAGAGAAATCAACTAGCTCTATAACTTGTAAATTTTTGAGTCGATCTAACTTTTTTTCCACTTTCTCTTTCATCGAAAATGGTAAAGGCCGTGTTTTAAAAAAATTCGGACTCGCTTCCATACCTGATTTCAGTCTAATTGATATTGTCCCTTTGTTAAATTCACCTATGCCTAGAGCAAACAAGTTCTTATATTTATCACCCAAATAGAACAACTCTTTATCAGAAAAGTTTTCTTTATCTTGGACCAAAAATGTTTAATAAATTAGAAGAATCAATTAAAATATCACCAAATCTTAACATTTTCGAATCAAGACTGAAAAAGGCACTTATTGAAAAAAATTGCTACACATTTGACGAATTTTAAACTGTTTTTTTATATTTTAATGACAAAATATCACAACTATGTAATAAAATTGACTTTCATTTATTTATAGTTATTTTTATACATAATCTAAGCCAAACAAATAATTATATGTATATACCTAT